AGGAAGAAGTAAAACTATCTCTATTTGCAGATGACATGATACTTTACATGGAAGACCCCAAGAACTCCACAAGAAGACTCCTTGAATTAATCAACAAATTCACCAGTGTAGCTGGATACAAAGTCAACACCCAAAAATCCATAGCATTCCTATACACAAAAAACAAACAGACTGAGAGAGAAATTAAGGAAACCATACCATTCACAATAACATTCAAGAAATTGAAATAGTTAGGAATCAATCTAACAAAAGAAATCAAAGATCTATTCAATGAAAACTACAGTACTCTGAAAAAAGAGATCAAAGAAGATTTCAGTAAATGGAAAAATATTCCTTGCTCATGGATAGGAAGAACCAACACTATGAAAATTGCCATAATCCCAAAACTGCTGTACAGACTCAATGCAACTTCCATTAAACTTCATTAGCACACCTCACAGATCTCAAGAAAACGTGCCTTAAATTCATCTGGAATCAGAAGAGACCCAGAATAGCAAAAGCAATGGTGGGCAAAAAGGATAAGTCAGGTGGAATCACAGTCCGTAACCTGAAATGATGCTACAAAGTGACTGTAATAAAATCAACCTGGGACTGGCTAAAAATCAGACCTGAGGATCAATGAAACACACTGGAAGAAACAGCCACAACCAAAAACACACTCAGCAACCTAATCTTTGATAAAGGAGCCAAACAAACTCACTGGAACAACGATAGCCTCTTTAATAAATGGTGCTGGAAAAATTGGCTTATCACCTGCCGAAGACTGAGAATAGACCTAAGTCTATCACTATGCACCAAACTCAAGTCAAAATGGATCACAGATCTCAATATTAAAACAGAAACACTAAATCTATTGGAAGAGAAAGTAGGTAAAAACCTTGAAGACATAGGGGTAGGCAGAGAGTTCATGAACAAAAACCAAATTGCACGTCAAACATTTCAAAGAATGAACATCTGGGATCTCAACCTACTGAAAAGTTTCTGCCCACCTAAAGAAATCACCAGCAGAGTAAAAAGAAAACACACAAACTTGGAAAAAAATTTACGTGACTACCCCTCAGACAAAGGGCTTCTAGCCAGAACATATAAAGAATTAAAAAATAACCCCCCCAAAATTCAAGTACCCAGTCCAAAAATGGGCAGCTGAGATGAATACACACTTCTCAGACAAAGAAATACAAATGGCAAATAAATGCATGAGAAAATGTTTAACATCATTAGTCATTCAAGAAATGCAAATTAAAACAACACTGAGATTCCACCTTAGCCCAGTAAGAATGGCTAACATTAAGAAATCAACCAGTAAGAAATGCTGGCGAGGCTGTGGAGAAATAGGATCCCTCCTCCACTCTTGGTGGGAATGCAGACTGGTGAAACCACTGTGGAAATCAATTTGGAGATTCCTCCGAAAACTAGGTCTACAGGTCCCATTGAACCCAGCTGTTCCCCTCTGGGTATTTTCTCAGAAGATCCAAAAACATCATATCACAGTGATATATGTACACCTATGTTCATAGCAGCACAATTTGTAATTGGTAAATTGTGGAAGCAACGCAAATGTCCATCCACAGAGTATTGGATAAGAAAATTGTGATATTTTTATAGAATGGAATATTACTCAGCTATAAAGAAAGATAAACTTGAGCCTTTCATATGTAAATGGTCACAACTAGAGACCATACTTATAAGTGAAATAAATCAGACCTTCATGTGCAAGAACCACATTTTCTCACTAGTGTAAAACCTGAAAGAATTAATATAAACTCGGAGGTATGATAGACATTGTGAAATGATAGGAAAACACTCAAGGATAAAAAGCAACTGGGATGTGGAAAAGAGAAGGGAAAGAAGGAGAAATTTGTATATATATATATATATATATATATATTCTTTATAGTTAACATAGTTGATCTACTGTCTTCTATTTCTTTGCTGAAAAAAACTGTTAATGAGTCCTTGATTGATCAATAGTGTATGTCTCTATTTGTTTTCATGAGAAACCACTTTGAAGATATCAATATGTAATACAACAACATTGTCAATTTCCTACCACTTTGTTTGTAACTCTGTATTGTCTGTACTGTTCTTTTGCTATTTTGTAAAATGTTGTCTGTCTGTTAATGTTTTCCTCCTTTTATTTTTAAAGTAGAAAAAAAATATTTATTGCTTCCTACTTTCTCTTAAAAGAAAAACATTGTTTCATCTGCTGTATGACACTCCTGACAGCAAAGAATAAAAAACTTGACATAAGTTCATACATTGCTTCTGGATAGTGAGATTAAACTCTCTTTAGATAATTTTGCCCGTATATATATTCAAACTTCTTCAGAGTAGGACAGAGTCAATGTGTTTTTGTTCTGTTCAATTGAAGCAATATGTTAAGCTTCTAATGAAAGATGCTTTAATTTATATGGTTTGCATAACAATTTGACCGAAAAAGGGTAAAATAAATCCTCTTTTGGTTTCCTAGTTCCTGATATGGGGGTTTGGTGATACACCTACCTAACCAACACAGAAATCTAAAAATCAGGATAAGAAGGATGTGTTCTTGTCTTATGATGTTTACTAGGGGGCTGAGCCTTTGAAATAGTGTGTCACAGACACCTAAAAGCCACCAGCATTTGCCATGAAAATTTCAGATTACCTGAATCAAGAGATTATTTCAAAAGGAGTTCTTTTTGGCTCCTGGCAATATTTTCTGTTTTTCTAGACTAGAAAAATGTACAGGAGAATTATCTATAATAGTATGCTGGCTTTGTTCTCATGGTGGTGAATTCCCTTCACATGAATACTGTGACACCGCTAGTGATTTTTTGTCTTCATGGAGAATGATACGTATCAAGGAGAGATCAGTAGGCCTACTGAGGCTGACTCCATGAGCCAATAATAAATGTAACACAGTAGAGGATATATTTATCTTCTACAAAAATAGGTTTCTCTCTTTCACTTTATTTCTCTTTGTTTCTTTGTTTCATTCTTTCTTTCTGTCTTTCTTAGTTTATTTCTTTCTAATGCTAGGGTTTTAATCCAGAACCTTCACACTGAGCTACATCTCCTGACCTTTTATTACATTTTCTTTATTTTATGACAGGGTCTTTTTGTTTCTTTGTTTGTTTTTTTTTCTGGTACTGAGAATCGAACTCACGACCTCGTGCTTGTCAGGGAGGCGCTGTGCCACTGAGCTAAATCCACAGCCCCTGACAGGGTCTTTCTAAATCACTAAATTGTCCAAGCCAGACTCAGACTTGCAATCTTCTTGTGTCAGGCTCTCAGAGTGCTAGGATTACAGGTGTGTGCCGCAACACCTAGCTCAAAAATAGATTTCACAGGCCACTTTCTTATGAATGAAGAGATGGGAAAGAATAGCCTAGTTGATAGTGAGAAAACAAGAATGTCAGCCAGGATATCTTATCCTGTCTCCATTGAGAATTTTTATGGTGGCCTCTCAGAAAATGCATACACAATATTTTCTCTTCTGGCTTGGAAGTACACATTTAGGACTTTTTTGTGGTTCTAGAAATGGAACTGAGGGCCTTGTGCATGCTTCATAAGTGCTTTACCATTGAGCCACATTAACCCAGGGTTTTAATGATTTTGGGAAACCACCTGAAATTCACCATGATAGGAGCAAGCAAAAAATTCTCACCACTACTCTCTTTTATAAGAACGGGCTTCATTCATCAGTTACTTGAGGAACTCATTCAATTCTTCTTTATAGAAGACTACCTCTCTATGTACAGTCAGTCTTCAAATTATGAACATTGGAGTTGCAAACTTTCTTAGATAAGAACAGACCTCACAGTAGAAACATTCATAGATGGGAACAAATCATGAACATAGTAAATGTGTTTGTCAGGCATTGTCACAGCTGTGCTGCTGTGTGCTTACTGTACAGTGTGGTAATGCAGAACCAGAATGTCCAGAAGCATTATTTACAGTATTTGTATGTTTATTTGCTTGTTTGGTTCTATGCTTCACATTGTATATTTGTGTAAATGGTGTGTAAAATTCACTTTGTTGGAGTCGAGAATGAATGTGACTGATGAATGTTAGCCTGGAAAAAGCCACATAGGATGAAACTCTCCCAGTTTTAGCACTGAAAGTGCCATGTGTTGGAAAACATTTCCGTCCTGCAAAAAACCCTATAGCAAGGATCAGAATTCATATATTCCAACTCTCAGTCCAATGCATGCTTTATGCCACCTTGCTGTCAAAAACTATTATCTGAGTAATGTTTTCCCTTCTCAACACCTTAGTGTACCAGGCTATTTCCACACTGCATCATCCTCCCTTCTCTGCCTAAGACAGAGGCAATGGAAGCTAGTGATCCTCAGAAGTATGAAATACACTCTTGGCAAATGAGAACAATACATCGGCTTTTTCATGCATAAAATAAAGATAATACCTATTCTTTTCAAGTCACAGGACTACTGCACATATCAAATAGTAATAGATAAGGAAGAGCTTACTAAACCTTTAAGAGCTGGTTACAGATCAAGTAATGACTTTTCAATATACCTGCACAGAAGCCAGCTACTTATCATTTTCTTTATTCATTCAGTGCCTGATATAACTACTATGACCATATAAGTAAGTACTTTGGTCCCTGTGTCTCAGTTTCCCCCTATAAAGAATGGAGCTAATATGGATGCCAGATATATTTGCTTTGAAAATTGAATTAGTTATTACATGTAAAGCATTCAGAAGAGTTTGTGGCATGTGGTCAAAGGTTTGTAAGAATGAGATATTTTTGTTTGGGTTTTTCCAAATAGCTCCTCTCACTAAGTGCCAGAGACTTGATTAAGTGGATCCAGAAACCAAATGTCACAGATATCAGTAATTACCTTGCAGTACTTTTCTATTAGCTCCCTAGTTCTTTTTTTTTTTTTTCCCCTCTGGTCCCGGGAACAAAACTCACGACCTTGCGCTTGCCAGGCAGGCGCTTTGCCGCTGAGCTAAACCCCCAGCCCCTACCTAGTTCTTATGTTCTGTACCCACAGCTTTCTCACCATGGATTGCCAAGAAAATGAGTACTGGGACCAATGGGGACGCTGTGTCACTTGCCAGCAGTGTGGTCCTGGGCAGGAACTCTCCAAGGTAAGTCCTTCAAATCATTATACTTATTTTTTCACAACTTAGGACCAGTCAGATAACTGAGAGAGGCCAACATTAGGATAGTCAGGCTCAGCTCTGACTGGTCTTGTTCAGCAGGTAAAATATGATATCCAGAGAATATATAATAGTAGTCATTATCCTAGCATGAAGTCCACCTAGCAGGATCAAGATCAGGGAAGTGTTTCATGAGATAATGGGTAACACAAGGGGAGATGTGTAATATAGAGGCCCAGGAGGACTGTTTGGCATTATAGCCATCTGTCAGCTAAAGCAAGACTTGCCCACATAGGGTTACAGAGTGAGATCAGGTCTTGGGGATAGGGAAGAGAGGAAAACCAAGAACGACCAAGTGTGGCCCCTGTCTCAAAAAGTCTGGGCTACTGAGAATACAATACAAGGGAAAGTTAAAGGATTTGGGGCTAGGGAACCAGAATGTGTCTAGAATCCCAATTAAAGATAATGTTCAGAACAAAACAACCACCAGTGTAGAGAAATGAGTGAGGCTAGAGTGCTTAATTGTTTCTGCTTCAGGTTCCCTGCTAGTCCTTGAATTGGGGGTGGTATTCATTTTAGGCTGTAGCTAGTGCTACAGAAATTGGAAGCAGATGGTTTCTGTGTACACACACTTTGTATTCTTTCTTTCAGTGATAAAGTATTGAAATGGCAAACATTTTCATAGGCACCACAGATATGGCAAGACAAAAGCTGTTGCCCTCATGAATGTTACCTTTCTATTAGTAAAACAAAAAATGGGACACATACATACTTCTTTATAGAAGACTACCTCTCTATGTACAGTCAGTCTTCAAATTATGAACATTGGAGTTGCAAACTTTCATAGATAAGAACAAATGTGGAATCTAGATCTGAAGACATGACAAAAATTAAATTAGGGAGATATGATACAGAGTGACTCCGAAGCTATTTCAACTCAGGAAGTAGTAGAACATCATCTTCAGGAAATATTTCCTGGGAAAGTTAGAGCTAGGGCAGAGTCCCAAAATACTGAATGAACTAGGTCTGTTCAAGGAAGGAAGGGTCATAAAACTGGTGTACGGTAAGAGGGAGAATGGTTCACAGTGAAAGGGAAAAAGAAGCATAGGTCAGACCATGTGGAGACATAAACTCTATGATGAGAAATTTTTTTTTATTTGAAGTGCCCTGGTATCTTTTTGAAGGGTTTTCAGTAGAGGAGTGACATGGTCCTATGACAAAAGAAAATCAAGGAATTATTTAGCCTAATTTTTACCCATGTCTGTAGCTCAAAGAGTGAAGAGAATATGGCCCAGGGATACCAAGAGACATGAGCATTAATCCTAATTTTAACTCTTCACACATATCATTATTATACCGTGGGATGCCCATATAGTAGATAAGAGATTCTAGGATGGAGACAGTCTAACACAAGTTAGGTCATGTTGGCTATTAGGATAGACACAATGAAATATCTTGCTTGGCTTGACAGAAATATTTCAAATTACTTCAATCTGCATGATAAGAAGCCTCATAAATGAGACTGAGGATATAGTTCAGGGGTGGAGATCTTGCGTAGCATGTGTGAGGACTTGCGTTCTATCCCTATACAACAAAAATGTGTTACAAATGTTCCTAGTCTATTCTGTACATGGCCATCATCTTTAAAACTATCCATATTAGGGGGCCAGAGATATAACTCAGTGGTACAAGTGACTGCCTGGTAAGCACAAGGTCCCAAGTTCGATTTCTGATACCAAAACAAACAGAAAAATTATCCATATTTACAAAGCTGAACTTTTTCAAGGAAAAATATCTGTTTGTCAAACTGCTTTTTGCAAACTCTTAAAAGAAAGCCCATGATAAAAAGCACAATTGATTTGATAATTCTCCAATTGTCATTTACTTCAAGACTGGAAAGCTCAGAACAAATGAAGAAATTTCAATAGTGTGCTTCTGCAAAAGCTTTATACAGTATATAAATAGCAAATACTTATCTGGTCATCTGTACTTTGCATGGATCCTAGGAGCATATTAGCTCAGTTGTTTTTACAACAGTTCCACTAAGAAGGCATTATGAATCTGAACTTCTAGATGAGACGACTAGGGCTCAAAATTAGAGGAGATATGCTCAAAGTCACAATGGTACAGCAAAAATAAATATGAAATATTTAGACTCAGAAACATCGGAGTTTGATTCCTATCTTTGCTGAGTGCCAATTAATTTCCCTTTGAATTAAATACAATTTACTAATGTGAAAGGAACTTATTTTTCTATATACATGGACATCATATATATGGAACATTCTCCAACTTTGCTAATCATCAGGGAAATGCAAATTAAAACCATGATGAAATGTCATCTCACCCCAGTGAGAATGATTATTTAAAAGACTCAACACAGCAAGTCCTGGAAAGGATGCCAAAAAAAGGAGATCCTTTGCACAGTGATCATGGGAATATACACTAGTAGAGGCATTATGTAAAACAGTTTGGCAGTACCTCAAAAATTACAAATAGACCAACCTGCCATATGGTGAAGCATTCTCACTTCTGTGTGTATATCCAGAGGAAATGAAATAACATAACAAAGAGACTTCTGCCCGCCGCCCCATGTTCAATGCAGGACTACTCACCAATAGCCATGAAATAGAAACAATCTAAGAGTCTATAGATTGATGAATAGGTAGAGAATATGTTTTACATATACACAATGGAATACTGTTGTGACATGAAAAGAGAACTGAAATCCTGACATTCCTAACCACGTGGTTGGATCTGTGAGTGATTATGTTAACTGCAGTAAGCCAGACACAGAAAGATAAGTACTGTACTACTCTAGGTACATTCTTGGTTGCAGAGACAAACTACCCAACCCACACAAGTTATAGGAGGAAAGGTTGATTTTAGCTCACAGTTTGTTAGAGGTTCCAGTTCATAGTTGGAATGTTCCAAGGTAGGGTGGAATGGCAGAGGGGCATGGCAGAAAGCCATGGAAGAGGAAAGAAACAGCCCATGGCAGGACAGGTGGGCAGCAGCAGCAGAAGCAATGGTGAAAGCAGTGAATTTTCCTTTCCCTTTTATCCTATCCAGGTTACACGCCTACTGGTTGGTGCCACTCATATGCAGAGTGGAATTTCCATTATCTACATACAGAACTATGCTAAACCCATGGATACAGTGTGTCAACTTGGGGAGTCTAGAGGTTTGGCTAAGTGACTCAGCAGGGAGCCAGGGTGCTTAGTTTGTATACATCCTGAGCCTGTGGAAGAGGAGCGCATGGAGTTTATGTGAGTGTTACATGCCTCCTGGAGCGGGTAGCCTGTTTACAATGTAAGGGAATGAAAGAGGCTGCTTGCTGCCATTCCCCTCTTTGCTCTCGTTGCTTTGCTGTCTTCTGCCTTAGAGCCAGCCAAGTATGGACTGGAACCTCCACAAACTGTAAGCTAAATAAACCCTTCCTTCCTTAATTTTGGGCACTGGGTATTTTGTCTCAGCAACGAGAGAGAAGTAACTAAGACACCAAGTTATATGCCTACTGGTCACTCATATGCAGAGTAGAACTTCCATTATCTATATCTAGAACTATGCTAAACCCATTTAATTATCGCATACTCTTAATCCCAGTATTACAGACCAGAGATCCAGCCACCTCTGAAAAGCCTGACTTATGATTACACTGAATAGCCCCACCAATGAGTGCATGAGACTTTGGGGGGACATCTAGATACAAGCCATAAATAAATAATTTTGGTCCCTAAAATACCCACATGCATCCCTTTATGCCAAAGGTATTTAGTCCATCTCTAAAGAGTTGCCAAAATCCTAACAGTTTTAGCATTGCTGAAAAATCCAAGTCCAAAGTTTCCTCTGAGTTTTAATGTAAACTCTTAGCTGTGAGTCCCTGCATAAATGAAAGTTAAACATTTTCAATATACAATGATGCAAGGTAGACATTCCTATTGCAAAAGGTACAAATGGGGGGATAGTAGTGTGTGGAACCAGAGCAAGTCCAAAATCCAGCAAGGCAAACATTAAATCCTATCTTTTGATGTCTGGCATCTTGAGCAATCTATGACAAATTCAAAGGGCTTAGGTGACTCTATGTCTATGTTGTGGCTGGTGGTTTTTGCTCCCATGGCTTCTCTCTTCACCTGGCTCACCTCACTGCTTGAAACTTTACTCAGACAATCCATGCTCCTGGCTTCTCCAAAATTCTCATATCTTCACTGCACCTTCAACTTCATGCTTGCAGCTTCACATACTGCTCTCTCAGGAGCACACTGCCTGGCCTGCCAGGACTTCTTTTGATGCATGCACCTAAAATCAGCACAGTATAGATGATGCCAAAGTCTGCTACCACCTGGAGCAATACCTCAGGTTCCTTCTCTCTGAGTTGTAGGGGTCAGGCGTCTGGATTGCTGGACAATGGGAATTAAATTACAAAGAACAAATTCCATAGGCAGGTGCTTTGGGGCTCTGTTCTGAAAGCAAATCTTTCACCTTTGCAATTTTCAGGCTGCAAAGGGTGAAGTCCTGCTGGATCTTTTGGTGTCCTCAGGCCGTCTTTTCCATTCCCTTGTTCATTTTCAGCAACCAATTTCTACTCTGTTTCATCTTTACAGGCCTTGCCTTTATCAGAGCTTTCTTTCTGGCCAAACTCAAAACTTTTAGAATCATTCTGCAAGGCCCTTTGCTATTGATTCTCAAAGTACAAAGGGTAAGAGCCCCCAGTAGTAGCCATGTTACTACCTCAACTTCAGACTGCCTTGAAATTTCTTCCTGAAGTTTAATTTACTGGTCCAGCATCCCTAATCTCAGTCTCAGACAATGTCACTGGACATGAACAAATGCAGACATTATTTTTTGCAAAAGTATAACACACATGGTCTGGAGTCCAGTTGCCAATTTAGTCCTTCTTCTCAACCGAAACCTCCTGAACCTAGTGTTTACCGGCTGCATTTCTATTAGCATTCTGGTCTTCTGTTCTTCTGCTAACAGAACAAAAT